TCAGTGTTCCTCTCTCTTTCTCCCTCTCTCGTTTTCTCTCTCTAAAAAATCAATAAAAACATTAAAAAACAACAACAGCGGAGCTGAGATCGGGGTGGCTGGGTTACTGAGGCAAAGTGGGGAGGGAGGGAGGGCAATCCGGGCAGCGGGGAGGGAAGCACAATGGCTCTGCGGCAGCTGGAAGTGTGACCAGCATTAGGCCCAGAAATCGTTTGTGTTTCATCGACTCCAACACTTTATTTCTCACATTTAAATCTCTAATTTAAATCAAGGTGACGTGGTAGCGCGGCTGGCCGGCTGCCGTTCTGACACAGCTTAGGAATGTGTTTGCCCAGGACAAGTGAGTGCAACACGGACCCTAGATTCTCGCCAGCGGACAGAGGAGGAAACTGAGGCTCAGAGAGGTCAGTGACTTCTCAACGGCACACGGCTCTTAGCAGGAGGACCAACCGAGGGAAGGCAGAGAGGCCAGGGCGCCAAGATGCTCAGGACCGAGGTGGGCTGGCCGGGCCAGGCAGGGGAGCCACGCAGGGGGTTGGCAGGAGCCGTCTGACCCCGAGGTGCCCCCGCAGAGGGCAATCCTCTCGGGAGTCATTCTGAGGAGTCCCGGAGCGGGTGGCTCAGACGTTCCTGAAACGCTCCCGGGCGGTTCAGATATCAGGGTCCGTCCCCATCGGACCCCCTGTGAATGGTACTTCTGCTTGGACGCCACCGCGGACTCCAGCCCAGGAAGTCCCCGGGGGCGTCCGCTGGGGTTAGCCAAGCGTCCCCACGGGGCCTCATCTCCGAGGAGCCGCAGGCTTCCTGGGCCTCCGGGGCAGGGGCCGTGTCGCAATTGCTCTCACATCCGTCACTCCGGACACGCCTGGCTGCGCCCCGTCTGGCCGGCTCTCTGGCTTGGTTCAGCTGAGTCAGGCCAGGGAGGCGGGGTGGAGCGGAGGCTGCCGAGGGGCTCCCTCACCCCCGACCCACGGATCCTGGGACTTCCAGGCTCCGTTAGCTGAGGAGGGATGTTCATCAGAGGCTGGCAGGGGTCCCCTTCCTTTGAACAAATTTTTCCTTTGAAGTTTTCGGATACCTGATCAAAAATGTCAGGAGTGCATAAGGGTATAGAAAAATTTAATCTTCCCCTGAGCACTCCCAACGCCCCTGTCCTCGATCCCCCCTCACGTTTTCTGTGTCCCTCTGGGATGCCACTGCCCGCGTCCCTCTGTAGCAGGTGGTTGCAACCACACCCACAGCTGGGCACCTCCTTGTTGGGCAACACATTTTGCAACCTGCCTCGCTGCTGCAGGGACCCTCGGCCTTGGCCTTGGCGGCTGGCTGTGTGGTATTCTAACACTTCGTCACTCAAACCAGCGGGCCCCAGCCTTGCGGACCTCACGGGCCACCGGTTGGTGCCCACTGACTTAAACTGTGTCTTGTTGACAAATATTTTACATATTTGCATCTTTTGCCATTGCTTCAGTGCCGTAGTAAGTGCCCTTCTCAGATAGCTTTTTCTGGCGGGTTTTGGGGAGTTCATGGTATGAGGACCCAAGAAGTAGGTGAAAAGCAGAGAAAGACGCAGACACATGGACAACTGCCGCCGTGTCCCTGCCGTCTCCCGCCTGGGGCTCAGCGTCCCCTCTGCACAGCGGGGGAGGGGCAGGGCCGGAAGAGCAGGGACTGACCCTAAGGCCGGAGCAGAGGACTCTGGGCCGGAAGGAACAGGGCTCACAGAGGCCAGGGGAGGTGGTGGCCTGGTCCAGCCGGAGCCCTGGCCCAACAAGGGCTGAATCAGAGAGCGGTGTGTTCTCCCAGGGCCCCGCCTGGCTCTCAGCACCCCGGGGCCGGATGGGGGTGCCAGCTCCTTAACCAGACGGGGCTGGGCCCCAGGCTCAAACACTGAAGCAGCCTCCAGGCCTCTGGGCCACGGATCTCTGGTCTAGAGCCTGAGGGCTCCCTCCCCCACCACCCAAGTGTGTGGGACAGATGGGGCAGCGGGAGGAGGCAGTGGAAGCCGGAGCCAGGGAGGGCAGGCCCAGGGCCCAGTGCCCAGTGCCAGGCCAGGTGCCCAGGGACAGGGTGTGGCCTGCAGAACCGGCCGGAGCTGCTGAACACATCCCAGCCCCACTGCTGCCCCTCGACCAGCTCTCCCTTCCTGCTCTCCCCAGGGCACCCCACACTTCTGGGGGACCCTGCCCTGCCTCCCCGGAGCCTTTCACCATGGCTGGGACGCTGGCACCGGCCCTCCTCTAGGCAGCCTCCGCCCAGTGCCCAGGGAGCCGTTTGAAAATAATATTAGCTGCTCACGTCCCTTCCCACCCTCCCCTCAGCGGCGCCTCCCTGTACTTTGTGGTTGTTTTTTTGGGGGGGAGGGGGGTATTTGTTTTTTTAATGTAACTTTTTTTTATTTATTTTTAAGCAATCCTCACCCAAGCATATTTTTCCATTGACTTTTTTTTAGAGAGAGTGGAAGGGAAAGGGAGAGACAGGGAAACTCTGAAGTGAGAGAGACATAATGATTGGTTGCCTCCTGCCTGCCCCTGAGGGCCGGGAGCCTGCAACTGAAGTATGTTGACCGGAATTGAATGTTATAAAAACGCTCCATCCACTGAGCCAAACCAGCTAAGGCTCATCCCCTCCTCTAAAAAAGAAATATATATATTTTAATTGATTTCAGAGAGGAAGGGAGTGAAACATCAGTGATGAGAGAGAATCATTGATCAGCTGCCTCCTGCACACCCATGGATTTTTAGGGTGAGTGGAAGAGAGAGGGAAAGACAGAGAAACATCGGTGTGAGAGAGAGAGCCTGACCAGGGCCTGAGCCAGGAAGGAGCCTGCAACCAAGGTGCATGCTCTGATCCCTCCTGGGGATCAAGCCCACAACCTGAGCATGTGCCCTTGGCTAGAATCAAACCCCGGACCTCCCAGTCCACAGTCTAATTCTCTATCCACTGAGCCAAACCCCCAAAGCCCCTCTGCTCGGGCCCAATCCTCGCCGTGGCCACGGCTTGCTGCTCACCATCCTTTCCCCCTTAGTCGCAGATGGTGGTTTCCAGTTAGACCCACGGAGCAAAGGCGACCTTCCCCAGGGCCTCACAGTTAGTCTGCCCAGCGAGACTAACACGGTCTGCCCAGCGAGATGCCCGTGGAAAGGATGCATGGCGGTCTTCAGGAAACCTCAAAGCCAGCTGACAGGTCTTTTATCTCCTTCCTGCGGGCTGGCCCTGTGGCGGCTGGAACTCAGCACCCACATGTTATAAGTGACAGCGCAGCCAGAGGGAGGAGCGTGGGTCCCTGATCACTGGAGCTGCCACCCCAGCCCAAGACGGTGGACCTGCGGCTCTCCTTCCCCGGCCGGCTCCCAGCGCCCTCTCCTCGCCATCAGCTTGGGGCCACCCCACCTGCACACCTACAGCCGCTGACCCTCTCCCGGAGCACCTCCAAGGGCCTCCTCACCCTTCTCCCTGACCCCCGTGAGTGCGGCCTGGTCAGTCCTGGGGGCGGGAGGAGGCTCCGAGCTGGTGCTGGCTGGACCGCGTGGGGCAGTACTGGGTGAGTCAAGCTGAACACACAGGCACTTTATAGCCTTCACAGAAGAGGCATTTCTTACAAAATGAAGATAAGACCTCTACCAGCACAAAGAATAGCCCCTCGGAGCCTCCCTCCCCCGGGGCCAGGGGTGTGCCTGTCCCTGCCCCATCGCCCAGGGCTAGAGCACCATCTCAGACCAACCCAGAGGCCAGCCTGCAGGGCCCGTTCTTCTCAAGAATGTGCTTCCCCCGAAACCTTTTGGCTCAGCGGTAGAGCACCAGTCTGCGGACTGAAAGGTCCCAGGTTCGATTCCAGTCAGGGGCATGTACATTGGTTGTGGGCACATCCCCGGCAGGGGGTGTGCAAAAGGCAGCTGATCGATGTTTCTCTCTCATCGACGTTTCTAGCTCTCTATCTCTCTCCCTTCCTCTCTGTAAAAAATCAATAAAATATATTTTTTTAAAAATGTGCTTCTATTGCTAAGAAATCTCGACTTCCATTTCCTGGAACACTCTGGGTATTGCCTCGTTGTGTTTCTGGTTTGAAAACCCTAAGACCTTTGAATAAATCTTCATTTGTTTCTAATTAAAACCTCCCGATTTCATCTACGCTCCGTCAATGTAGCCCACCTGAATGGCCCCCACCCTGCACCCCGCACCCCACCTTAGGCTGTGAGCTCCCAACTGCAGGGGCCTAATAATCCTGCTTGCGGCTAAGCACATGGCTTCCGGGACAAAAGGCAAAGGCCCAAGAGCAGGGTCTGAAGAAGGTAACAGCCCAGCCCCAATCCCACTGGCTTCCCTGGTCCCCGGCCGCTCACAGTACGCCCACCACTGATCAGGCCTTACCCCGTCTTCTCCCCTCCACACTTCACCTATCTCCTCTCCCAGGGAGCCCTCCTGGATTGAACCAGCACTGCCTCTACTGATGAAGCCTTCTGCTAGTCAGATGGTCCCAGGATGTGGGTGCTCCTGGGAAGGGTTCAACAGTCTGAAAAAATGGTTGGGCTGGGGCATGAGCCAAAGTTCCTAGCCTAGAGTTCATGGTCTAAACGAGATCAACCAGCACCCAGAGATCGAATGCAGAAGTCTGGGCCTAGGCCGGCTCTCGGCTGCCTAGGGCCTTTCCAGCTCTGCCCGCTCCGTCTGCTCCTTCCCTTGCCCTTCAGAGCGCTGGCCCTTTCTCTGCTTTCGGACGGTTGCTCCCTGACTCCTCTCCAAGAGGCCTTCCCGCACCACCCCCAAAATTAAGCAAAGGTCCCCTCTAACAGTCCCCGCCCCGCCCGCCCGCCCGCACAGCTATGACTGCCATGAGGCCTGGACCACAGCCAATCAGCAACTCAACATCCAGGAGCCAGGCGTGAGCCAGGTGTTTATTGCAGAAGTCTGGCGAAGGCTCCCACGTGGTGGCCAGCTGAAGCGGGGCTGGCCTTGGCCCTGGCTGGGCAGGTGTAGGAGGAGAAGGCCGTCGGGCCAGGGCCTCAGAGCTGCGAGAGGATGTTGGGGGCCAGGCTGCAGGTGAGGCCTGTGCCGTCCGGCTCCACGTTGAGGGCCTTCACTACCCCGTTCTCTATCACCATGGAGAACCTGCCAGAGAGGGCGGGCCCGTTACAAGCGCTGGGCCTGGAGGCTGGGAACAGAGGGGGGGTACCAGGGGAACCCCACGGGGAACCTCCCACTTTTACCTCTTGAGCCGTCGATTCCCGAAGAGGGGCACCAGCGAATCATCCAGTAACAAATCTGTCTCCTAAGAAGAGAGACAGAAACAAGGGTCAGGAACCCCAAGAACAGCCAAACTCCCCGGCTGCTCCCCACATGGGTCATGACCTTCTAAATCCCTGCTTCCAAGGCCTGGCAGAGGGGCCCCCGTCCAGCTGCAGGGGTGGGGTGGGGTAGGGTGGGGTGGGGCTTGCACTCACCTTCCCAAAGGCCCCCGTGGGGTCAGCCAGAAGCCGAATCTAAAGAGAAAGTCAAGGTCACAGAAAAGCCCCCGCCTGGCCCCTAACCCCTGGGGGACCCACGCCTCACCTTGCCTTGTGTGCTGTGGGCTCGGCCCCACTCCTCGGTCACAAAGACATCGTTAACACTCAGACAGGCCACCACCTGGGCGCCCTTGGCCTTCAGAGCCCCCGCCTGCTCCACAAACCCCGGCAGGTGAGTCTGGGAGGGAAACACAGGCTCAGCAACGGGACAGCTGCCTCCTCTCCCCGGTCCAGCCTCATCTCCAGGCTTCCTCCCTGTCCTGCTCCAACCTTCATCAGCCATGAGAGCTGCCTAAGCCACGGGTCCTTTTAGCCTTGGCCGTGGGAAGCTTGGATCCATACTTAAGATTTCTGTGGTCAAGGCCGTGAATTTCCTGTAGGCATAAGTATTTACCAAACACCTCCACAGTGCCCGCCAGCCAGCAGGATCAATGAGAGGCGTTGGGTTTCACTGTAATACCCTTTCTTCCACGCTCCTGAGGCCACTGCCTTTCCACAGCCTGTTTGTTCTCTGACACTCTGGCATGTTAACCTCATGTCACCTGCACACACCGCTGCAAGCTGCCACGGGACAACACGGAGGGCCATCAACAGCGCAGACGTGCGCACAGGCTCCCCCCTGCTGAGCCCCAGGAGGGCAGGGCCTCACCTTGGAGCAGCCCGGGGTGAAGGCTCCAGGGACTCCAAACAGCACCCCCTTCTTGCCCTTGAACAGCTCGGCCAAGTCCACCTTGTTCCCAGGCTCCCCTTCAAATACCACCACGGACGGGATGGTGTCTCCCACCTGAGGGAAGGACACAAGTTCAGGGTCAGGGAGTTGGGGGCAAGCAGGGGGCGGTCAAGGGGAGGACGGAGGCCTGGGAGCCAGGACAGGCGAGGCCAGGGCTGACTCAGGACAGGATGTCTGATTTGCCAGAGCTTCCAGAGGCCCCTCCCAGCCTCCCTCCCTCTCCCCCACTGTTACCCCACATCCTCCAGGCCTCAGGCTGGCCCATTCCTCTTTGAGGGCCCGTTGGTAACGGGAAAAGGGAGACAATGCCTCCCACGTGTGGCAACTCCTTGCAATACCTCGCAACAAGCTGTCTGGGTTACAGGAAAGAAGTGGGATAACTGGCAGGAGGGGGAGGGTCAAGGGGCTGTATGGGGGGAGGGGCTGAAAAATGGAGGGAGAGGATCCTGGCCGGTCTATGTCCCATCCCAAGATGAGAACAGCAGAAGGCGGGGAAGGTTAGTTATGTGGTGTGTTTGTTTTGTTTTTTTGGGGGGGCCGATTGTGGGGGTAGGTCCCTACATCCAGGAGGTACAGAGTTAAAGGGAAAGATCAGTCTACCTGGGAGTGTGCGAGGGTGTCATGGCGGGAGGGAGACAGAGGGAAGGAAGGCGGTTGGGATAGGACGAAGCAGAGGAAGGAGGAGGTCTCAGAGTTTTTTTGGGGGGGAAGGGGGTAGTTCTAAGGCGCTGGTTCAGCATGAGAGGCTCGCTGGGCTAAAGCGTGGGCATTAGCTGTGGGTGGCGGGATGGGGGAGGCAGGGATGGGGGAGGCATGGCAGGGCTCTAAGAGACAATGTTTCAGAAGATGGGGGGGGGGGGGAGGCCGGATAACAGCCTGATAAAAGCGTGCAGAGGGTACAGCAGGGTGTGCGTGGGGGCTGAAAGGGGACCCTGGCGCAGGGGAGGGTCCAGAGGTGGGGGCGGCCATGGTATTCCACCGCCTGGAAAGGGTTGCGCCAACATCACAGGTGTCGCAGTGAATGCGGAAGAGAAGCCTCGAAAGCCTCGGGGGCAGCCTCGGGAGATGGAGCACGAAACCCTTAAAGCTGGCGAGAAAGGTGGGTTTGTTGGGAGGACGGGGGACAGACGCGCGGGAGCCTCCAGGGCGGCGGAGAGCGGTCCCGGCAGGAAGAGGGGCCGGAGGGTGGGGGGCCGGGGCCGCGGCCTCAGCGGCACGGAGGGCCTGGAGAGATGGCGGGAGAGGGAGAGGGGTCAGGCCTGGCCGGACGGGGCCAGCGGTCACCTTGATCGGGGCCATAGCGACAGCGGCGCTTCTGAAACCGCGGGCTCCGCCGAGCGTCCACGCGAGGCCTCCTTCTGAGCGCCCTCCGCCTCCCGCCGCTGCCGCGCAACGGACGGCGACCGCACGGGTGAGTACCGAGCCCGACAGGCGGCCCAGGATGCACATTCCGGTCGGCCCCACGAGGGGTATTCAGGCCACAACCGCCCCGCGCCGCCCCCGCCCTGCCCCCGCCCCCGCCCTGCCCCCGCCCCCGGGCGCCCGCGGGGGGCGGGGCCTGGTGGCCTTGCCGCAGCGGAACCTGCAGAAGGCGGGGCCTCAGGCCACCGCGGGGCGGCGCCGCGGAAGCGCAGGCGGGGCGGGCGTGGGGGCGGGGCTTCGGCAGCCGGGCGGCTTATTTGCATACGAGGAGGGGCGACGTTGCCTAATTAACGGATTGGGACAGGGTGACGGTTCCTTAACCGGAAGCGAGGGGCAGGAGACGACGGTTCCGGGCGCCTGCGTGGAGTAAAACACGCTCATTTCGCACTCAACCGAGGCCCCACAGCCCGCCCTGCACAGGACCTGCAGCGACGGGAGGTTTGGCTCGGGCACAGCCCCCGGGCCTGCCCCGAGACAGCCTCCGCCGGGATGCTCCCGGTAGCCACGCGTGACGCGAGGAAGCCTCGGCAGGACCTGCGCTCCCGCGAGCACCAGAAGTTCCAGCAGCTTCGGCCGCTTCAGCTCCTCCCGGCCCGGCGATAGGATAGAGAGCGGGGCGGCCCCGGAAGTTGATGCCCAGAGGGACCCGGAAGTGACGCAGCGGAGTGCCTGCCTCCTTCCGGTTCCGGCCGGAGGGGAAAAGAGTGTTGCGGCGACATGAAGCTGCTCACCCACAATTTGCTGAGCTCGCATGTGCGAGGGGTGGGACCCCGTGGATTCCCGCTGCGTCTCCAGGTACAGCGCAGGGGCCGCTCGGGCGCCTGTTTCCCGGGAAGGAGAGGGAAACCAGGCTCCGATCCCTGCCCAACCGAACCCTTCCGCCCTGCAGGCTACGGAGGTCCGCGTCATCCCGGTGGAGTTCAACCCGGACTTCGTGGCTCGTATGATACCCAAAGTGGAGTGGGCGGCGCTTTTGGAGGCGGCCGATCATGTGAGGACCCTCCCTCTGCCCGTGGGCACCCAGCCCCTTTGCTCCTGGCCAGGGTTGGGGATGCCCAGGGATAATTTAGGTCTCTTGCCCACAGTTGCGTCTGGTTGAGGTGCCCAAAGAGCCGATTCAGGGGTATGAGCAAGATGAGACGTTTCTGAGGAAGATGCACCACGTGCTGCTGGAGGTGAGCCTGGGCTGTCACTTGCTTCCTGGCTACACAGCCATACCCGGAGGCCGCCAGTGCTCAGCTCTTCCCCACTTCCCCGCAGGTGGAGGTGGTGGAGGGCACCCTGCAGTGCCCAGAGTCTGGACGTGTGTTCCCCATCACCCGCGGAATCCCCAACATGCTGCTGAATGAGGAGGAAACCGAGACGTAATCGCGCCAGGCACTCGTTTTTCATACTGTGATCGTGTGTGTGTTTTTCTGTATTTCCTGTTGGTTGGTTTTGTCATGTGTATTCCCAGCTCTTGACCCAGTGACACGCCACACAGTGTTCTTGAGCTCGATATATATGTTTTTTTCATTAAAGGTTCAAAACCAAAAGCGGTTTCTCTTTGCAACAAATATACATTAAAATAGAGTCTCTGTACAGCCACGGGCTCTGGGCCCTGGCTTGCCCCATGTCCCTGCGCCTCCCTGGCCAAACCCAAAAATAAATATAGTGTTATTGCTCTGCAGGGCATAGAGGCAGTGCTCTCCCTACCCCCTGAGGAGCCTGGGTGGGAGCTGATGGGGGACCCTGGCCACCCCAGGGGTCCAGGAGCTGGAGCCTGCTTGGAGTTATTGCTTCAAGGGGTGGAGGGGCAGAATGCCCAATGCAAATGATGAGAGGAGCCAAGGGGGCAGGGGCTTTTGCTCTCCAAATTCCCCTCTGCTCTGGAGAGGGGGTCGGATTAAGCAGCAGCAAAAGCATCACCCACTGGGAGACTGGCCTCCACTCCCTTCCCTCCCTGAGATCAGGCTTCTGCCCCCCTCCCCTACACACCCCCTGCAGCCCCCTATGGCTTCCACAGCACCCCCTGCACTCTGGGGGCACCTTATGGCTTGCAAGGGGCAGCACTGTGCCCAGAGACTGGGCACACACGTTCCCAGCTTCTAACACCCCCGAAGGAGGGGGAGGGGAGGGCGTAGGGCCTGCTCCCAGGGACTGATGGTATTGCCTTGGCCCTGCCAGCAGGCTTGGCACTGCCGACCCCAGCTCTGCCCCCTTGGGGCTGGCCCCATGCTGGGCGGGTCCTGCCAGCACCCCCACCCATGCCCACCCCTTGCCTCAGTCCATCATGGCCTCAAGCATCTCCAAGAACAATTTGTGCATGGGCACCTTGCCCTCCAGCTTCACCCCGTAGAAATGGGCCAGCACTTTGCCCGCTGTCTGGCGAAGGAGTGGTAGTGTAAGCAGCAGCCTGCCTGCCCGCCGCCTCTCAGCACCCCCTCCGGGGCCCGCCCGGCCTGCTTCATACTCCAGCAGGGCCTCATGGAGAGCTTCTCGCAGCTGCTCCACAGCCTCCGCATCTTCAATGTGCACAGAGTCTGCAAGGAGTCGGGAGAGAGCTTTGACAGGGACCATCTCCGGGGAGGAGAGAGCCCGCATCTGCCTGGGCGCTGAGGGATGGAGCCTACACAGGAGCCGGACACAGACTTGTTGGTTGTCTGACTGAGGCAACACTCACTGCGTGTGCCCATGAGCCAGGGCCCAGCCTTTCTCAACTAGGGTGCCCTCTTGTCCTCCCCGCCTCCCCTCCCACCGAGTGGTTCGCCTTTCCAGTGAGCACGGCACTAGGGTTCAAAGTCCCAGGTGCAGTTCCTGGGCCTGCGCTTGCCTTTGGGGCTTGCAGCAAGTGGCTGTTCTTCCCTGTGCCTGTTTCCTTGTCTGCAAAATGGGACTGCACCACCGTGAGAGCTAGGGAGGGCCTCCTGGAGACTTGTCAGCACCTACCCAGGCTCACCTGAGTTGGCAAGGGCCAGGGCCTTCAGCAGGACGTACTCCTCCCGCTCCAGCCGCAGGGCCTGCAGCCGCCGCACTAGCTGCAGCAGGGCAGCCCCGAGTTCCCCCAGGCCAGCTGCTCGTGCCCCCTCTTCATCCAGGACCAGGTCCTCGGCGAAGGCCAGCTCGTCCTGCAGCGGCAGTGAGCGCTGGGCCACACCCAGCACCAGTACCTCCATCCATACGCTCTGCAGCACTGACATCTGGTCCGACAGTGACAGCGACGAGAAGCCTGGAGGGCCATGGGAACACACCGGGCTGAGCAGGCACCGGCGCCAGGCCTGGCTGGCCTACCCAGGAGAGCCCGCGTCACCTGGCCCTTTACCTGGGATGCTCTTGGCCCAGCTGATGGTGACCACAATCTCTCGGTCAAAGAGGTCACAGAGGGTAGCCACGGCCGGGAGGTGTCCGTCAGGGCCCGCTGGGTCGGGCATGGCATACAGCTTCTCGGGCTCAACCACCAGCAGGTGGGACACCAGTGCGTTCACTGGGGCTGCAGTGACAGTTGGGAGAGGCACTGGAATTCGTCACCTTGCAGGCCTTTTGGAGTCAAACATCTCCTAGCGTCAGTCCCCCCCCCCCCGAGGCCATCCTCCAGCCACTGCTCAGACCCCTGTCTCCAGGAGGGGCGCTGCCTAACTCCCGGGGGAAGGCAGTCTGTGTGAACAGGTTCCGAGTGTTAGCAGACCTCTCCCTGTCCCACCTGTACTACTCAGGACAGGCAGAAAAAGGTTTTTTCACAAATGCTTTTTGGGGAAAACGGGTCCCAGTGCCCCAAATAACTCCTGTCCTCCGAGAACCACACCAGACAGGCCTCGCGTCCCAGCGCAACCCCGACCCTAGAGCTCCAAGGAGCCACAGACTCACCCGTCTTCCGAGGGCCTCCAGCCACTGCCAGGGGGCCGGCAGGGAAGGGTCCTGGGAAGGGCAGTGGGTCCACCTCTGGTCGCCGCTTGTACTTCTGCCGCCCGCCCCGGACACGGTCCAGACGTACTCCTTGAATTGCAGGACAGGGCTGTGTCCTAGGGGCTGGGGGCGGCTGGCTCTCCAGAGCCCTCCCGCCCGATCCATTCCACCACAGCGTCTCAGGCTTTGCCCCCTCCAGCCCCAGGCGCCCAGCTCCCCAACCCTTGCCGAGGCTCCTGCCCAGCACTCACCCTCTTTGAGCATGCCCACCCGCAGGCACTTGGTGAAGCGACAGGCCTGGCAGGCCTTGCGTCTCCGCTTGGTGATCTCGCACTCATTGGACGCCGGGCAGCTGTACTCGATGCTCCCTGCCAGGAAGAGGCAGGGCTCCAGTGGCGGCCTCCCGGGGCCCGGAGGAGGCCCAGCAGACAGGACAGCCCTGACTCCCCGGGCAGGCACGGGTCTGGGGAGAGCAGGAGTGCCGTGAGTGGGGCGGGGAAGCCCGGGGCAGTGAGGGGAATGGCTGCTGGGCTGGGGGCCCCTGTCTGGGCAAAAGGGCTGGGGCCGGGGGAGTCAGGCTGCATATGCCTCTTGTCAAGCCACGTCTCTGGTCTCCTGCCTCGTCTGCTCTCTTCCAGGGTCACAAGGGCCTCTCCCTCTACTGCGCAGTTCTCATCTTCACCTTCCATGGCCTCCAGGCGTGTCTAACACCGACTCCTAGGAACTCCGAGGCACTTTTCTTTTGCTTTTAGGAAACCCTCCTGGTTTCCATGCCACTCACTGGCCCCTTGGTGAGCTCTGTGCGTCCCCTGCGCTCCTTCCATTGGAGAGCCTCAGGGCTGCCCTCAGACCCGTCTCCTCTGACTCATCCCCGTGCTGATCGTCCCTAAGTCGTGGGCTTTCAAATTTGTATCTCCTGCCTAGACCTGCCTGGACTACTCATCCCTCTGCCTCCTCGACATCTCGCATGTCTGTCTAGAAGGCAGCACAGCTGAAACCGGTTTGGCTCAGTGGATAGAGCGTCGGCCTGTGGACTGAAGGGTCCCAGGTTTGATTCCGGTCAAGGGCATGTACCTGGGTTGCGGGCACATCCCCAGTGCGGGGGGTGGAGGGGGGTGCAGGAGGCAGCTGGTCGATGTTTCTCTCTCACAATGTTTCTAACTCTCTCTCCCTCTCTTCCTGTCTGTAAAAAATCAATAAAAAATATTTTAAAAATAGATTTGTAGAATACTGCACAAACCTAACCCGTCCGAAAGGCAGCCCATGATGCACCCCTCCAAAACCACAACTCCACCCGCCAGCTGCTCACGCGGACACCTAGGCAGCATCTCTCATTCTGTCTCCGCCCCAAATCCAACCCGTCAGCTGATCCTGGGGGCTCTACCTCCCAATATGGCCTCCTGCTCTGCCCTTGCCTGAGGCACCTGATTAAACCTACTTTAGGTCCTGCCCCTCCCCTGCTCCATCCCACCAGTGACTCCCCTTCTCAGAGTAAAAGCCCAGGGAACCCTGCGACCTGCACCCCTGCTCCTCAACCCTCTGACCGCTTCCTCCTTGTGCTCTGTTCTGGCTCCAGGCCCCTAACTCAGGGCCACAGCTCCCTTTCCATCAGGCTCTCCTGTGGTCACCTCAGGGGGCCTTCCCTGGCCACCCTGCCAGGGGAGGGGGGGTGAGGATGCCACACGGCCCTCTGTGGGGATTCTCATCAGCTCTCCGCACCATCAGATATGCCACCTGTGTCCATATCTGTCTTCTTTATCATCTGTCTCCGGACTTTAGCGTGGGCTCCAGGGGGGCATGGCACTTGGTGGGCACTCCTAGCTGGCACATGACCCTCCCAGCCTGGCAGGACTGCTTCAGGACTGAATGACATACCAGCCAACATGCCCTTCGCGTGTTTCTCCTCCACCCTACCCACACCTCCGCTCTCAGCTCAAGACACCCCTTCCCGGAAGCCCTCGGAGCTCCGAACCCTGCCAGGTTCCTCGGTCCTCGCCCTGCTGCTCGCTCCCCAACCCTTACACAGCTGTGCTGTAACAACCGTGTGCGATGCGTCATTTCCTCTCCCTCTGCTAGAAGGTGCGGTGTTTGAGGACCCGTTGTCCCGCCTTAGCCCCGGTGTCTGGAACAGTGACCAGGGCGGCAAAGCACAGGTCTGTCAAGGCTCTGGCAGCTGCCTTGGGGCCTATCCTGACACTTCCATACACCAACTGTGTGACCTTGAACCAGTCCCACAAGCCCGCAAAACCTCCGTTTTCTCATTTGTAAAACTGTGGTGGTAGAAACAGCACTTGTTATAAAGGTGAGTTGCGAGGAGGGGGTAATTGAGCTACCACGTTTAGCATGGTTCCTAACACCTAAATATCAATAGGTGATTATTTATGGCTAGTGCTCAATAAATATTTGTCCACTGAATCAGCAGCGAAGGAAGGGTCCCAGGGTGTCAAGAGACACCTGGATCTGAACCTGTTGGCTCCTGGGCTTCAGAGACAGAGGGAGCACCGAGGTTTTACACCCATGGTTGTTGGCAACGGCAAAATCAAAATGGCTCGTGTGTCACAATCATTCGTGCGGCACCTGTCCAAGGTTCAGTTATTAGTAATAAGCAGAGGCAGCAGTCTGGCATGTAAGAGCTCGACTCTGAACCTGAATTGACCCAAGTTCAAATCCTAGTTCTGCCATTTTCTACCTTTAGGACTTGGACAATCTAACAAAATCTAAAACCCTCACTGGGCCTCAGTTATAATATTGGTGGCACCTTGCAGGTTGCTGCGAGGGTGACAGGTCATGAATGCACTCAGGAAATGTTCTCCGAAATTATACATGTTCCAGCCCCAAAGCAACCAGAGCTTTACATGAAAGCATAAGGAACAGGCACATCCCAAGTGCTGCTTATTACATCACAGACTTGCTCAGATTTTGATATGCTTTCCTGAGCGAGAGAAACCCCCCCACCCCGAGGACTATCAGCAGGGGGCCTACCAGTCTTTTTAAAGTTAGGTTATGACATAGGATGTAGCCCCTCTCAGCTATAAAAACCTGTGCTGACGCTATTTTGGGGGAGGCAGTGGGAGTGTTTTACGCTAGCGAGAAGCCAGGAGCTGCCAGGAGCAGGCAGAGGCTGTCTCGAGCTGTTCAGACGGTGCTGGGCCTGTCACACCCAGGAAGACATCCCGAGTGCTCGCCCGCATCCCACATCCCACATCCCACATCCAATCTACCAACACATCCTGTTGGCTGTTTCACTTTTAAGGGGAAGAGCATTCCTCGGAGGTAAGAGGGCTGTGAGGACAGGGCTGCCAACCCCGAGTGGTGGTCTGGGGTGGGGAGGGGGGTCTAGTGCCACTCAGCGGTGCACCGATTTGGTGGTGCCAGGCCCCGCGGGCAAAGGGCAGAGAGGTGGGGATAGGGGCTCACCCTGGATGGTCCTCTTGAAGAAAGCTTTGCAGGCCTCACAGGACGCCACACCATAGTGATAGCCCGAGGCCACGTCTCCACAGACCAGGCACAGGCGTTTAGGCAGGGAGCTGAGCACCAGCTTCCCGCCGCCTTGCTCACCGGGCCCAGCCCCCTCCCCATCCTCCTCTTCCTTGTGGCCTGGAAGGTGGCGTGTGGGAGCTGGGCCAGGGGCCAGGGCCACAGGGGGCTCGGGCTCAGTCTCCGAGGAGCCCTTGGGGCTGTCTGGGCTGGCTGGCTCTGCCTTGATGTAGAGAGGCTCAATGCCCACCACCTGGCTGGACATGGCGCTGGTCACCTGCGGGGAGAAGCCTGTCAGGGCGCAGGGAGGTGCTGGGTGGGGGGTGGAGACACCCTGCCACCCTGGTTGCCCAACCCCAGGCCTGGGGCCAGGCTGCCAGTATCAGTGAGGGGGAAGGAGGAGGTACAGAGTCCAAGAAAGGGCTGCCCATGGAAAGCGCCCCCCTCCCTTGTTGCCATGGGAATAGAGTCTCCAGAGCCTCCAGGGCCAGTAACTGACAGCAGGTTGGTCCCATTTAGGAACCTGCAAGAGACTTAGAAACCCCCTTACTCCTGCCCAGGCCAGGGAGCAGGGTAACCTTGGCCCCAGGCGACCTTCAGCTCCACCTGGAATCCTCAACTAGAAATGGGATACCCTCTCAAATTTCTCCAGACAGGGACCTCCCTCCCCCTCTCCCCAGTGTATCCCCAAGAGCGCAGAGGGGGGTACACAAGCCCAGGGCAGGTGGATGTGCTCACAGGCGTGTATTCACACTCTCACTCACTCCCACTCACCCGGGCGGACAGCTGTCCTCACCTGCCCATTCAGCATGGCCCTTCCCCAGCCCCGTTCCCATTCACGCTCACTCCTTCCTCCCAAGTGCATGGCTCATCAGCAAAATCATAACCTCACACTCACCCTGACACGCTCACTCCCACGCCCTCCTGGCCCCCACACTCACAGGCACAGCCCCTCGTGGGAACGCATCCAGATCTTTCACACCTGACACACTGCCCCCTCCTGTCCCAGCAAGCCCACTCCAAGGCGCACCAACGGGCAGGCTCCGCCTCCTTGCACATCCCCCCACACCCCACCCGCCAGCACGTCCACTCGTCCACTCCGCTGCCGCTGCCGCAGAGCCCTCCTCCTCGGGGCGCCCCGCCCCCCACCCCTGCACACCTATGGGAAGTTGCCTAAAGTTGCAGCGTTCCCCTCCCCTCCCCCTCCGCCCGCCGGGCCCTCGATCAGGTTATCAGGAAGTAAGTGGGCAGTGCCAGGGAGGAGGAAGTTCTCCCCGGCCGGTGCGATGACCTTTGACCCAGAGAGGAGGGTGGCCCACGGCCCCTACGAGCGCCCCCACGTGGTCTTCAGAGCCCCTTCCCCGACAGGGAGCCCTCCCCATCTTCCACCCGGCCCGCCCCTGGGACTTCGGCACGCTCCCGGGCCGCACTGAACCCGGGACGGGACGGGACCCGAGGCCCCAGCCCGCCCTGGCTGAGGGCTGGAGCCGGAGCCCCAGCCGGCCCTGCCCCAGGCCGGCACCCCAAGCCTGGACGGCAGATCCCGCCCGGACCCCGGCCTCGTCTGGCTCGCCACCCGGTCCCAGCCCAGACCCGGGCCGGACCCCGCCCGGAGCCCGCCCCCCGCCCGCCTCCCTATGAAATCGCCTCCCGCCTCGCACATGGCCCCCGCCCCCTCCCGCCCACCTCCCCAGCGCTGTCCCCTCCGCCCGGACCTGGGGCTCCGGCTGGGCGGCCGGGCGGGCATGGGGGCCGAGCGGGCCGGAGCGCCGGGTGAGCCGGGGGCCGCGGGCGCCTCCTCCGCCGCCTCCGCGGGCCGCGCCGCCCCGCCGCGCCGCGTCCCCTCACTCGGCGGCGCCGCCGGCGGCTTGTAGGACACAAAAGGACATCGCGGCCGCTTCCTACTCCGCTCCTCCAGCTGACAGCGGGGGCGGGGCCGCCCATGCAAAGCAGGGGGCGGGGCCGGCGCCCTATGCTAATCAGACCGGGGGGGCGGTGCCGGCGCCGGGCGAGTCGGGCAGCGCCGGCGGAGCCAGCGGGCGGCTCCCGCGGACGCCCCGCCCCGTGGCCGCCAGCCACGGCGGCGCACTCGAGTCCGGGCCCCGCGGGGGGCGTGACCGGGGACGACGCGAAGTGGCTCGGGACCGGGGCGGGGCCAAGAACGCCTTCACGAAACGAGACGGAGGAGGCGGGGCGCGCCGTGCGCGAGAGGAGCGGGCGACGGCGCCCCGAGAGACCACGGCGCATGTAAATGAGGCCCGACTAGCGGAGCGGCCGCATCTGCATATGCATGAGGGGCGGGGCCAGCGTGCCCGGGAAGGCGAGTGCTGCCCACTTTCCCTTTTTCCATTCCCCCCCAACCAGGGAACACCGTCGGGGCCCCCAGGACCAAAGGCCCGGGACCCCCTCAAACCTGCGGAATCCGGGGTGGGAGAAGCAGATCGACCACATGCAAGAAGTCCTGGATGGCGAGTCCCGGGGAAGGCGGAGCTGGTATGGCCCCAACGGAGAACGCGCTCAAGGTCACTGCGGTGACCGAGTGAAGGTCACGGGGAAAGGCGGGGCCACGTGCGTCCGCCTCACGCAGACAGCCACGCACTGACTCACAGACCTCGCACAGGGTCTATTTTATTTCTCTAGGGTTCAAATTCCACACGGAGAGGGCTGGGTTTGGGTTCCCCGGGCGGGGCGCGGGCCGGGCAGGAACTGGGGGCCACGCTCAGTGCGCGGAGACGTGCAGCCTCCGGTTCCGCCGCTTCCGGAGACCCTCGATGTACCGCTGCAGCTGCTTGGTCAGGAAGTGGTCCCTGCCGATCTCCGACTGGTAGGCTGGAGGAGGGAGCTCCGCTCAGGGCAGTCACAGGGGCCTCACCCTCAGCAGCAGGTGCCACGGGTGTGATGGGAGGAAGGAAGGACCGGGGATTTGGTGGACAGAAGCTCTAAGGGAACTTTGGATCTCCAAGGTGCCGGGCTGTGCCGGTTTTGTTTCAAGTCCTGCGCCCCAAATAGATTAGGGGACGGGGGTGCGGAGGGGGACTGGATAAGGAGGTGGAGGATGAATGGGAGCAAGATGAAAGAAAATGTTTCGGGCCTGACCTTGGACAGCGGAAGCTTTTTGGACACCTTCTGGGGCACTCAGCATTTGCCATTAGCCAGTCCCTACCCCTCACATCACAACCAGGGCAAACCAGTGAAGGTTTACCCCAAATAACCTACTGTCCAGAGGCTCTTCACATTTCCCGGGGAAGGGCCAAGGCCACCAGAGGCTGTCATCGCCCTGGGCGGACGGAGAAATCGCCTTCGAAAAGCCGCCAGCTGGAGGGGGGCTGCACTGAAACGAGCCCAGCCCCTAGCCTTTGCCCATGGTTTCCCCATCGGTCTCCCTTATCCTGTCCCCCAACTCTACTTTCCGTGGGGCTCTTACGATATTTGTGAGTAGTAAGAGAATCTGACAGGGCAGTCACATCCCGAAATCCCACTGCCAGGGACTCAAAACCTGCAAAATCCCCCAAGGTCTCATGGGAGCTCGGGGCGGGGGGACTCACTCCGGAGGGCTTTGGTGAGGATTTCCAGGGCTTCATTCTCCATGAGTTCCAGCAGGGGCAGCGGCATCTGAAGGGGCAGCAAGAGGCTCCATGCCCAAGGGACCCCAGCTCTGCCCACAGCTGAAATGCCCCCCCTGCTGCCTGCAGCCCAAGACGCCCAACCAATCTGCCTGCCCCCCACCCTACAGACCACCCACCGCCTTCATCCCTCACCCCCCACACCCCACCCCGCCAAAACCCCCAGTCTCCCTGGGTGCCTCCCACCCTGCTCTGCTGCTCCCTCCAGTAGGCTCGGTGGTGTGTGTGCTTCATGATGTTGACTGATGACACTGAGGAAGCGAAATCTGGGAGGAGAGAAGAGAGGCCGCAGTCACTGGCTGGCTGCTGGGTCTTTTTGGGACTGAGGAGATGTGTGGGCTGGCACCCGGCATGGACAGTGGCCCTCCGAGAGCAGCTCCCAGTGCCACCTCAGCAGGAAGCAGCGTGGGGACAGTGGTTTCCAGCCCTGGGCTTCGTTCTCTCTCCCACCAAGATCCTGGTTCTGATGGCCCCACTGTGTGACACTTAGAGCCAGTGACCTTAGCTTTCTGACCTGCAGGGTCTTCATCTGTAAAATGGGGCAATAAAAACAACCCCTGGCCCTGGCTGGGTAGCTCATTGGTTAGTGCATCATCCCAATACACCAAGGTTGAGGGTTCAATCCCTGGGCAGCGTACATACAAGAATCAACCAATGAAACAGTAAGTCAGCCTCTCTCTCTCTCTCTCTCTCTCTCTCTCTCTCTCTCTCTCATCAATATTTTTCCCCCAAATGAATAATTTAAAAAAAAAAAAAATAGCCTGGCCATTGTGGCCCAGTGGTTGAGTGTCGACCCATGAACTACCACATGACCAGGTTGTGGTCTCGATCCCCAGGAGGGGGCATGCAGGAGGTAGCCAATCATCATTGGTATTTCCATCCCAGTCTCCCTCTCTCTCCTCTCTGAAGTCAATAAAAACATATTTTAAAAAGAAGGAAGATAAAAAGAATAACCCCTTATGGGGATGATGAAGTTTAAAGGCGGTCATACAAGGGCAGCCCAGTGCCTGGCACACCAGCTCCGTGGGCAGAGCGTCAGCCTGAGGACCGAAGGATCCCAGATTTGATTCCTGTCTCGGTTGCGGGCACATCCCCAGGTGGGGGTGCGCAGGAGGCAGCTGATAGATGTTTCTCTCTCATCAATGTTTCTAATTCTCTATCCCTCTCCCTTCCTCTCTGTAAAAATCAATAAAATACATTTAAAAAATAATTAGCTGTCATTATATTGCTATCAGTTCCAATTATCTGATGAAGTGCTGAGGGAGGGGGAGAAGGGAAAGGAAGATACCCAAAAGTGACCAGCATGAAGTAGGCACTTAAAAAGCATTACCAATGCCCTAACCGGTTTGGCTCAGTGGATAGAGCATTGGCCTGCAGATTCAAGGGTCCCAGGTTCGATTCCAGTCAAGGGCATGTACTTTGGTTGCAGGCATATCCCCATTACAGGATGTGCAGGAGGCAGCTGATGGATGTTTCTCTCTCATTGATGTTTCTGACTCTCTCCCTCTCCCTTCCTCTCTGTAAAAATTAAAAAATCAATCAATAATTAAAAAAAAAAAATCATCACCAGTGACTGAATAAGTAACAGGCAGGCACCTCCTCAACCCTCGAAAACCCACCGACAAGAAATTAACTCCTTCCTCTCAACTCTCCTGGTGATCCCATTAAAAGCACGGTCTGGGCCTCATGACCAGCCTGGGAGCATTTTCCTGCCTGCCTCTGGGGACCTTGCCTGGTGCCTGCCCAGTAGGGGGCGCTCCAAGAATGTCTGGTTTATTAGCGCAGGCTAACTCTAGAAACTTCGATCCTACAGCTTCCCACGATTTACACCCAACAGACACGGAGGCCTTGGCCAGCCAGCCCCCTGCCCTGTGGGCACCCACAGCCAGAGGAAGCCACACTCACCCATCTTGCTCCCCAAATCCTCAAGTCCCTTTACATCGCCTCTCTGGGCGCTCCTGGGGCTCTGCTCCAGCTCCTCGGAGGTGTAGGCATCCAGTTCCTCCTGCCTGGTGCCAGCCTCGGCATTCCTCTGGCTCCATCCCTCCCTGGCGCCCCCATCGCTGGAGGGCTGCTTGTACCACTGGCCGGCCTTCCAGTCTTCGCCGCTGTCCTCGGGGTCCAGGTCCTCATAAACATCTGTCAGCTGGATGTTCAGCCGGGGCTGCGACAGCGTGGCCCTGGTCCACAGGTTCCGGATGTCACCCTTGGAGCCGGACTTGCTCGAGTCATGGGGGCTCAGAGACTTGGCCGTCGCCTGTGGACCACAGACACCCAGGAGAGCTCAGCACGCCTGTCAGCATGGCTGCCATCAACAAATCGACAGGCGGCGAGGGCCGGTGTGCTGGCGAGGACGTGGGAGGGGGGGCCCTCGTGCACTGCTGGTGGGAATGCAGATTGGTGAAGCCACTGTGGGAAGCATTCTGGAATTACCTCAAAAAGTGAGAAACGCGCCCTCACCTGTTTGGCTCAGTGGATAGAGTGTTGGCCTGCGGACTGGGAGGGGGGGGGGGTGTCCCAGGTTCGATTCCAGTCAAAGGCATGTGCGTTGGTTGGGGGCACATCCCCAATGGGCGGTGTGCGGGAGGCAGCTGCTCAATGTTTCTAACTCTCTATCCCTCTCCCTTCCTCTCTGTAAAAAAACCAGTAAAATATGAGAGAGAAAGAGAGAGAGAGAGAGAGAGAGAGAGAGAGAGAGAGAGAGAGAAATGGAACTACCTTATGACCCAGCAATTCCACTTATTGGATTATATCCAAATAAACCCAAGAACTAATAGGAAAGAATATATGCGCCTCTATGTTCACTGCACTGTTATTTACAATAGCCAAGATTTGGAAGCAGCACGTATGGGGGGGCCTGTGGTACATGTACACAATGGAATACTACTTGGCCATTAAAAAGGTGGGGGAGCCAAATCAGTTTGCTCAATGGATAGAGCATCCGCCTGTGGACTGAAAGTTCCCAGGTTCGATTCCGGTCAAGGGCATGTACCTTGTTTGTGGGCACATCCCCAGTAGGGAGTGTGCAAGAGGCAGCTGATGGATGATTCTCTCTCATCGATGTTTTTAACTCTATCCCTCTCTCTTCCTCTCTGTAAAAAATCAATAAAATATATTAAAAAAAAAAAAAAAAGGTGGGGAATCTTACCCTTAGCGATAACATGGATGGACCTGGAGAGCATTATGCTAAGTGAAATAAGCCAGTCAGAAAGACAAGCACCATATGATTTCACGCATATGTGGAATCTAATCAAATACACTAACAAAATAATAACAGGTTCATAGATAAAGAACAGACTGACAACTCTGGGGAGAGAGTTCAAGGCTGGGTGAAAAGGTGAAGGATTAAGCAAAAACAACAACAAAACTCATAGAACAGTCTGGTGATTGGGGGGGAGGGGGAAGGAGAAGGGGGTGGTAAGATAGGGTGTAAGAGGGACAAATGGTGACAGAAGGAGACTTAATAAAAGTTTGTAGATTTCAGGGGTACAGATTATGTATTATAAAAGTGTACACTGAAACCTATATATTTTCATTAACCAATATCACCCCAATAAGATCAATTAAAAGAAACAAAAACAAGGAAAGCCAGGCCGCTGGGAGTTGTGAGGTGTCGCCCAGGGCACGCAGAGGGGAGCGGGAGGGAGGGAGAGGCGGGCAGCCACTGGGGCCGGTGGGCGCTGGGGGCGGAGGCGGGGAGGACCGCAGGCCGCGGTGGATGAGTCGGGGGCTGGCAGGGTGCGGGCCCAGGGAGAGTTCTTACTTTGAAAGGCTTTTCCTCCATGGCTCTGCCCAACGGACCCCGTCGCCACGGGCCTCGCGGGCGGCAGGGGGGTCGCGCGCCGGGGAAGGGGGCGGGCCGTTCTGGAGGGGCCGGGGCCTCGCGCAGCCTCCACCGGACACACAGGCCCCCTCCCCTCCGGACCCACATGCCCCCCGCCCTCGCCCGCCCGCCCGGCGGGTGCGGGAGGCCGGCGGCCTGGCTCGCAGGGGGCCCCGCGCCGCACTCGCCCCCACTCGCGCCCTCGGAGCGCACGCGCAGCGGTAACGTTCCCTTTATTGGGGGCCTGAGGCCCAGCGCGGGGTGCGGGCCGGTCCCGGACAGGAGCGGGCCCCACGGGGCAGGAGGTGAACGGAGCGAGGGGAGGCGGGCGCCCAGGGTTCTCTGGCCCCCGAGCGGGCGCCGTGCCGCCTACACCGGCGCGCCCTGGTGGCGGGGGCGCCGGGGGCCGCGGGGCCGGGCGGGCCTCCTGGCGGGGCGCGGGGCGCGGCGGCGGCCCCGGGGCGCGCGGGCCACCCCGCCGCCGCGCTCGCTCTGCGTGTCGGAGGAGTCGTCGATGAAGGCCAGGCCCTCGCCCGGGTAGTCCAGCGCCGAGGCCGGGGGCGCGGGGGCGGAGGGCGGGGAGGCGGGGGGCGGGGCGGCCTTCTCCGGGGGCGCGGGGGGCGCGGGCGGCGGCCGCTCCTTCTCCGGCGACGGCGGGGCGGCGGGCCCGCCTCGCTGGGTCACCCGCGCCGTCACGGTGCCGGTCCAGCTGGCGGCCTGGGCCGTGAAGCCGCCCATCTGCGGGGCGGGGGTGACGCAGTCCTCAACCCGGGGTCTCCCCTCCGCGGCACCCCAACCCCCGCTCCCCGGAGCCTGCCCTTCGCCAGCCGGGCGCCGCTCCTCTGCCCGGGCCTCCTGCCCCAGCCCGGCCCGCCGCACCCTCTCGCCTCCTTCACCGCACCGAGGCCCCCTAGCCCGAGGCTTTTCTAGAATCCCCGCTTATCCCCGCTCCCCGGCCGGCCCCAGAGACCCCAGCTCCCCGGCCCGTTCGGAGGAGCGGGTGACAGACTCAGAGGGTATGGGTCTGGAGAGTGTCAGACTGTCTGTGGGTACGTCCGCGCTGGCTGAGCCCCTCACACTGACCTACCTGCTGCCCGTCTGCAGTGCCCGGTGACGCGCCGCCGGTTTTATTCGGGTAAATCCTCCCCCGGCCCTCAGAACCGAGATGGAGCCCCCCAGCCCTGTCCGAGCTTCCCCGGCCCCGCTGTGCCCATGGGGCGCGCCCGGCCCTGCCCGGAACCCACCCTCCGGACGGGGCGCCCGGGACACAGCGGCGGGGGCGCCTACCTCGGCCCGCGTGCGGCGGAGCACGGCGCGCAGCCAGTTCCCGATGGTGGTGAGCACCGAGGCAAAGTAGGCCAGGCCCAGCAGGATCCAGAACCACACCAGCGGCTGGTAGGCTGCGTGCGTGTGGCCGGGGTCCGCGCCTGGGACGCCGGGGAGAGGGCAGAGAGGTGGGTGCGGGCCGGCGGGGAGCGGAACGCCGCCCCTCTCCCCAGCTCAGGAGAGAGAGGATCCTCTCCCGGACAGGGCTCGTGCGGTGTGCACCCTGACACGTGTGTGAACATGCATGCAGGCGCAGGCATGCAAGAATGAAAGTGTTGCATCCGTGCAACCAGGTGAGGGTGCCTTCCGTGCGCGGACATAGCATTGGGGTCATCTCGTGTGAGGGCACAAAGGCCCGCGGAGTTGGGAGGGAGACGGGAGAGGCAGAGCCCTGGGCAGGAACAAGGCGGGCAGGAAAGCTCGGCACCAGAAAGAGGGCCTCACCGGCCACATAGTCCCCGAACCCCACGGTGGTGAGCGTCACCACCACGAAGTAGATGGCTTCCAGCTTGCTCCAGCCTTCGGTGTAGCAGAAGGCGAACATGGGGGCGACCACAAACAGCAGGCAGCCGACCAGCAGAAAGAGCACCGCCGACAGGACCCGCACCAGCTCCTTGGGCACGTGCCACTTCTGCGGGGAGGGCACAGGCGGGAGCCCCCCCGATCCTCCGCGCTCACCCACACCCCTTCCTCCGGGAGGCCCCGCCATCCCCGGCCTGGGAGGGGAAGGTATCCTGAAGAAAAGGCATCCTGAGCCCCCTCACCCCCATACACACACACGGGCGGAGCGGCTCACCAGGAAGATGGCTTCAATGTGGCCGATGCCGTGGCGCAGGGCGGAGCCCAGCCGGTCCCCGACCCCTGCCAGCAGGAACCCGAACAGCGGGATGCCCACCAGCGCGTAGACGATGCAGAAGGTGCGGCCGGCGTCTGAGCGCAGGGCTACGTTGCCATAGCCTGGGCGGGGGGCCGAGCGGGAGATCTAGGGGCTACCTACCTGACCTCCCCCTCTCCCCCTGCACCTCCCCCTAGAGAGAGCCCAGCCCCTCCCCCACCGATGGTGGTGATGATGGTGCCGGAGAAAAAAAAGGCGGCGCCCAGGTCCCAGGCGGAGTAGTTGCCGTGACTCGTGGAGTTGGTATCAGGGTTTGCGCCCCCGCCCAGGGCATCGGCCACCTCCTGCGGGACAAGGCACAGGGGAGGAGCCTCAGTCCCCCCCCTCCGGTCCCGGCCGCCCCCTGGCCCTCCAGCCCCTCCCAGCTGTCCTCTTCCTGAATGTCTCCCTTTGAACTCACACTGCACATTGGGGCGACCCAATGCTGTCCGGCCTCCACATTGTTTTAGAAACATCTATCTGCCCCTTAATCTCACACGACAGATTTTCCATTTCACAGTGATCAAGAGCACAGACTCTGGGACCAGGCTGTCTGGCTTCAAATCTTGGTGCTGCGTGAACATGGCGAAGTCTCTGTGCCTTTGTTTCCGCATCTACCACCGGGGGATGGAGCTACCGTCTCACCTGGTGGGGAGTGAGAGCCCTCCCAGCAAAGTAAGCACTGTGTGTCTCCCGCAGCGGCCACGCCTGGGACTTCCAGCTTCCCCCAGACCCCCCCCCCCACTGCCCCACGGAAGCTGCCTCTGAGGCCCTTGCCTTAGAACATGTGATGGAAGTGAGGGACCCTCTCTCCAGGCAGGTGCATCTACCGTCAACATTTCCATCCCTTTGGATCTGTGCACACACAAGCCCCTGCCCGCCTGCTGAAGGCCTGTGCTACAGAGCAGGTGCTCGGCAAACACGGTTAAATTGCTGCAATGGCCATGTGTCTGTCCCTGTTGCCAGGCAGGGCAGGGCCTGTGTTTTGAGAGTGTCTGCCCTAAGAGACAGAGGTTGGGGCACAATGGGGTGGGGGTGAATGGGGCCCTTCCCCACAGCCCACAGAGCCAAGACACAAAGGCAGGGGGTGGGGGAGATCAGAAACCACCTCTCTCTCTTCCTGTCCTCATTAGCAGACCCTTTCCAAATGAACGGTCCTGAATGAGCCCC